GGTGAGAATTCGACACAACACTCTCAAAGTAGAATCTTACACTGAGATCACTGTCATTCTACTTTACTTGTGTTAAGTTTGTAAGGTGATTGCAAACAAAGTCCCACATTGATAAGAGAAGGGAATGATCATGGATATATAAGAGATGRCAATTATCTCYATTGGTATGRGGAATTTAGGATGAAACCAAAAATAAAGTCGTGATGGATATACCTAAAGCGGACAATATCACACAAATATTCATATCATCAACCATAACAAATATTCTCCAGATACTATAATTTTTTTTATAARATATAAAAATGTCAATAATTAAATATGTTAACACAAATATCACTATTATGAATCTAAATACTAATAATAAGAATATATAGTCGATTTTAACTTAATTTAAATAATTTATATGATTTTTAAAAAAAGATTTATTGGTTTCCATAATTTTAAAAAGAGTATAATGTGATATCGATTTTTATTTGGCCTCAAGATTTTTTTATTATTATTATTTTATTTTTGAGTACAAGGCCTCAAGATTTCTATAAATACTTAGTTTTACCCATTCTATTTTTATTTCTGTCACAATGTCAACGTGATATTTCCTCTTCTATGATATTTATATTTGTAACCAAATTCCCAATTTTCCTAATTAATTAATYGATCAATTCACCCAAGACTAAGTACTATATGATTATTCTTTTTAAAAATATAAAATTGCTATATAAATTATTAACCATAGCTTCATGGTAGAATTCCTATTGGAATTGAATATTATGGTAGTGATTAGTATTAATCTATTAAAAAATTGATTTCGTGAATAATGAAAGAATCTCTTAATTTTAAAATATTCATAATTTAAATAATAAACTGCATGATCATTATATTATATATATATATTCCATCAATCACTTTCCAATACCGAAGGTACATTTTCAAACACATTTCAATTAATTAGCCTACTAGCCCTAGTGGTATTATTCCAACAACAAAAAATAATATAATATTTACATATATTATTCTGTGATGATATATACTCTCTCTCTCTTTTTTTTTTTTATCTCTCTATTAGAGAAATTTAGAATTGAAATTGACAAGCACCTACAACTAATATAATAATGTACTTAAAAAAAAAACTAATATAATAACACGATAAAATATTTGCAGATCATTTCTTTAATTTAATAATTTGAATGTTTTTTTAGACGAAAATACAATGACTTTCTTACAAGGTGTTCGATGCTGCATATTTCTCTACGACTTCTGTATTTCTATTCACATCCTGTAAATCATGTTTCATCTAAAATAAAATTTAACTAATTTTTTTTAAAAAAAGAAACTGACTTCGTGTTCGACTGAGAATATTAGATATGTAATATATGAATTAAATTTACCCAACTCATTAAATTAAGTTTTTGGGTTGAGTGGTAGTTTATTCATCCTTAAAATGGTATCAGATCCTCGACATTACCTTTGATCCATCTCTAGGGAGCTTTCTAGCTTCCATCCTCTTCTGATCGACGATTTGTCTATCCTCGATCCTTAGAGAGCTTCGCCTCTCGCCACATCGTCTAGGTACATAAAAATCTACTCACTCTTCCAATGAACATCAAGTATTTTCCGGTCGTTTCACAGTGACCAACAGGTGACACAAGTAAAATTTAAATAAATTTGGTTGTGGACAATCAAATTAATTTTATAATAAGTCTCGTTGAAATGTGAATATAACCCAACAAGGTACTTATCTCCAACCAAAAAGCTGTGAGTTCGAGTTCTCACTTCGTTGTACTAAAAAAAATAATAACTACGCTCAAAATGAGGAGAATAAACATGTTGTCATTACTGTAGCTACCCTAAGACTAATTTAATAGACCTCTTTTTTATCCATATTTCTCTATCTAAACCAAAGGTAGGTCAATGACCTACTAACAATGTTCAACCACCAAAATCTAATTAAATATATAGTGCTTTCACACAAGATTTTAAAAACTTATCGCTCACTTATATATCTTTTAAAAAGACGATGACTTAGTCAACAATAGTCCATAGAAGAGATTTCAACCCACAAATTTGTTTAATCATCAACTCCCATATGAACTAGTGTGTATAATATGATCTCACTAAAGAAAATTAAAAGATTGGGCAGTCAAATTAACAAAAAGATTGTTAAAAAAAGTCACAATACAAGCTCCATGGATTTTAACTTTTCCTTTTGGTTTTCATGTGTTTTTTCTCCTAAAGAATCTCTCCCCAATTTAATTAAATCATATTGATTAGTCTTTGTTAATTAATTATATTTATATTCTCCAAGATGATGACAAACTTTGGGTTGGAAATTCCCACATAAGTCATCCTTCACTTCTCTCTCCCCCTTCAATTTTAATTTAACATTTTCTTCTCACTTTAATTCCCTCAACAAAACCTCTTGGTTGACGATGCTTCGATATTTATAGCCTGAGATAACTGTGTATTTTCCAATATAGTAAGAAATTTGAAAGTTTTCAAAAATGGCATAATTTAAATAAAATTCAAATTTAAATGTTTATAATTTTTTTTAAAAAATGTTGTTCTTATACTATATTTGAAAAAAAAAAATGGAAATCAATGACAGTTTTTAGAATACAAATCCGATGAAATTACTTGTGTCAAGGAAAAGATCTCCAAAGTTTTTTTTTTTTTTTTAATGTAAATGGCGCTATAATTCAAGAAAAAATATACAACTGCCTAACCCTTTGTTTTTTTAAAATAATATCTAATCATTTGAACTATCTTAATAATTAGTTGACAAGTTTATAGAAGTTTTAAAATTAGAATGAAGAACATTGTATTGTTGAAAAAATATATAAAGAAACTAAGAAAGGTTTTAGAAATTATATAATAAATTTACATGAAATATAATAAAATTTAAGATTAATAACCGAGCATTTTAAATTAAATAAATATTCTAGCTCAAAAAAAAAAAAAAAAAAACTTTCAACGAATTGATCTTCTCGGCCCAAAATGTTTTATCTCTTGCGTTTGGACCTACCCTAGTTCTAAATAGGTCTCCGTAAATTGGGGTTTAAACCTTTGACTGGGCCTAAACATGGATTGGGCCACAATCATGAATATGTTCGATTATTAAGTTTAAAAATATTGTGATGCACTTGAATTAATTCTTTTTTGATCTTTTATAAAAACCTTTCTTACGAACTATTTATTAAATACGGAGGAATATACATAAATAGCATGAACTAATTTTTCATTTTAAAATTAAACTTAAATGTAATATTAAAGGTAATATAAAACACATTAAGATAGGTTATACTTATGATATTATATGTAAATTAAAAAATTTAGAGTTATGCATAATTGAATTTTCTGAAATATGTATATTCAGTTGAAAAAAAAAGTGAAATTAAAATTCTACATTGCTTCTTATTCATGAAGAACAAAGGAATAGTCAGCACTTACAATATTTGTATGAGAAATCATTGAGAAATCATTGTTTACGTTTAAGTCTTAAGAATTTAATAATCGTCACGAGTGAAATTACTCATCAAATGTTCATGAATTAAAATTAAGAAGCGACATAGATCGAGCCACCTAAGTCAAATGGTCCAAACCAAATCATCCAATCAAATCAAACCCGAGTCGACCAAATCAAGTCGAGTTGGTCCACTCTAATTAACTACCTCGAGGAAACTCCATGTATAAATAAAAGGAGAGACCTGGAGCACTAGATATGTCCTCACGATTCTACTTTCGCTATTTTCTATGAAATGTTTTGCTAACTTAGGTATTAGAGTATGTTGAACATAACACGATACCGAATATAATGTACAAATTCTCTTACGTACAGATCTTTGTCAGAACAATTGACACGATAGATCAAAACCAAATGATGCCGAATATAATATACAATAATAAAGTTCATCTCTGTTTGTTCAAGTTTTTCTAAGTTAGGTTTTTCAATGACAAATGCATGGAAAGTAAGTAAAGGAAAGAAAGTGAGAGACAGTAATTAAAAAAAGAAAAACATGCATTATTAATGGATTAAACATGAGATGTTTAAATAAAAAGAACTTGATAAAGTATCTATTTTAGTTGCTTTCTTGAAAAGCACTTATGGCTAAGAAGTGTTTCTAAATTAATTCAACTTTTGAGATCTCTATTAATATTTTGACTAATTTCACTATGGTAAAGTTGGTTTTTGAAAAAAAAATCACACAACAATTAAAATTCCATTATCAAACCAAATCAATGTCTAGGTATAACAATATTTCAAAAGAATTAAAAATAATTTTCTTAAAAAATCCACAATGTTTTTTTTAATTATTAATTTACATTCTCCTCATTATTCTTTTTAAAATATATTTAAAAATATTTTCTGGTCAACACTTATCCTGCACTACAACCATTAAATTTGTAACAAACAAAAGAAAAATGCATAAAGTGAGATACTTTAGGGTAGTGTTTTCTTCTCACATTTGTAATAAAGAAAAATAAAATTATATTGCACCAACATCCATAGATTCAATAATCATAAAATAATATTTTTGTTTACGAGTAATAACAAACAAGAAACTTGTAGTTTATTGTTTCCAAAATTTCTATATAATTTTTAAAATGTTTCTTAATAAAATTAAAAACAAAAAACAAAAACATGAGGTGGATGTTGACCATGTGAACACTTATTGTCAGCTTGATTTTTAGGTGGACACGTGTCACTCTAAATATCAATAAATTCCACGAAGGCAGAGAATATTTTGGAATTTTCACAACTGTTAGAGAGAGAGATTGGGTTTGATGAGTTACAAAAGCCTTCTTCCACTGCCCCTTGTGACCAATCTCTGCCCAAAAGGAAAAAAAAAAAAAGTGAAAATTTGGAGGTTTAATAATGAAGTGCACGAGATGTCCATAATTTTCCAGCTGTTTCACTCCCAATTTTCAACCAACTTTTTTTCTCTTTTAATCTTATCTCCAAAACAAAACAAACCTCATTTTAGTTTCACTTTTCTTCTCCGATATGGAACTCCAAGAAAACCACCAACCAAGCCAAAGCTACGGCCACCATATTGCCCGGAAACTCAACTTCAATGCGCCCCTTCTCACCACGCGCCGCTCCCCGGCTGCCCTCACTATTTCTGCCGCTGCTCGGAGATCGTCCTCGACCTCCGATAGAGTTCCGTTTTCTTGGGAGCAAGCTCCGGGCAAGCCGAAGGATTACGTCGAGAGATGTGATGCTTCCACTGATGATGGCGCCGCCGCCACCCCTCGCCCGACGCTTCCACCCGGATGGTGGCGGCCACCGGTTCAAACAAGTAAAGTTTACTATTCTTCATTTTATCACTCTTTTTTTTTATCGTTAAATTTCTGACAAGTAAGTTAGAAAATATAAGGAAAAAAAATACTAAAAAGTTGTTAAATTTCTATTGGAGTGAAGATAGGTATTATTAGCTAATTAAGTCATGTTGTGTTGTTTGTTGTTTGTCGGTCAAGATAAATGTATATTTTCTTAGTATAAATAGATGGTATTATACAAATTTTCCTTTTTTTTTTTAATTCAACCAGAGCATATGTTATTACAAGTTGAATGTTGATAGACGAAGCACTCCATCAAATGATATCTTAATTGTGTTTTGAATGTTTTCTTTTATAAATTTTTATCTACCGTAAATTTACAGGAAGAAACTTTAGACATTTTCATCGTAATGGTAATGGTGATGGTTATGATGTTAATGTAGATAGCGGTGACGACGACAATAACTCTAACAACGGTAGCTATGTCTTGTCGGATGTTGTGGATGTTTTCTCATTGTCAGAGGCAATAGACATAGTCGAAAAAGCTGAGAAAGCCCATAAATTTTCCGATGAATTAAAGCTAAAGCAACTAAAATACGAAGAGGAAGAAGAAGAAGAAAGAAGTAATAGTGGTTGTAACTATAAGCTATCGTCAAATTTCATGATGGAGCGGTTTTTACCGGACGCAACAGCATTGGCAGCTTCCTCAGTGTTGAAGTTGAAGTTGAACCACCATGGATTGTCCCCGCAGAGAGTGGCAAGACGACGACAACCATTCTCTCCACCGGAGGGATGTGGTCTAGATGTTCTATTCCCATGGCGAACAAAGCACCAACTGTGTGGAGTAAAGAGTCCGGTAAGGCACGGTGGCCGGAGCTTGAAATCGACATCTTCTGCAAAACAAAAGAAACAACACTAATTAGATATTTACTCACCCCCAAATATCCATAGTTGTATAAAGTTTACAAACATATAATATACAAATTAATGCACAACATAATTTTGTGTACAAGTTGTAATGTTGGTATTTTTCTTCAAGTATTCACATCCAATGAAGCAAAATTTCTTTTTAATTATTTTGAATAGTACACAAGGAGCACAAATCGATTATCTTTTGATTGAGATACACTTGAACTATATTTTGGTTGATATTTCTCTAGTAATTTGTGAATTTATGATTATATATAACTTTTTGAGTAATATAAGATGTGCAAAAGCATGATCTCATTTGGTGAAAAAAAAAATTAGATATTAAATTTTCATCTTCAATGATAAATATAGGTAGAATAAGTTAGAATGATAAAAATTAAGCCCTTTGATTTCACATCCCTAGATCTAAAGTCCAACAATGTATTAAAATTGAGGGAAAAAAAACTAGCATTAGTTTTTTAAATAATTTTGAACCTACACTAATATTGCAAAATTCACAAAAAAAAAAAAAAAGTTGTAGTCATAGGATTGGTCACTTATTGTTGTAATATGAGTAGTACTCTCTCTATTACTTGTTAAGACATTAAATTATTTTTATTTTACAACGGTACGGTCCATTTTATGCTTAAATTCACACGAATTTAATTATAATCCATTGTTCAAAATACTTTAGGTTAAAACATTGTCATTTGTTTTGAGTGATCTATGATCTTCTTATTCTAATACTTACAACATTTTGCTTTTCATATGCTCCAGGTTGGAGACTATATATGGTAATTTTATAAAATGGTTCTCTACATTATTTAAAAAATACAATCCATTTTTTTTCTAATGATATAAATATAGTTTCTTCTTTAAACTAAGAAAAATTGAAGTAATTTAGACCATTGATTTCCCCATAAAAATGATAATGTTTGACCAGTATACAAACAAACTACAACGACGTTATCTTTTTAATTTAGTTAAGAAAAAGTTATTATTTAAAATCGACTCATTAAAATTATAATTTAGACCTTTCAGTTTTTAATAAAAATTTGGAAAAAAACGTCAACAGTAGTTTTCGAACCTGCGCAGGCAGAGTCCAACAGATTTCGAATCCGTCTCCTTAACCACTCGGACATATTAACTTTTYGATTAATAAGTAGCAAACTTTTGATTTAATTGTTTATATTTATAATTTCCTAATAAAACCCTGGGAAGACACATTTAGAAGTTTTTGTTTAATTAGTTAAATGAAATTTAATCCTTGTAGATTGTTGGGTTATTGGGCTTAATTCCGTTATAGAAAACGAGATTTGTCAAAATGGGAACAAATAAAATTCTAGGTTAAACTATTCACATTTAGATAAATATCCTATTTATAATATGAAAAAAGGAAAAATATACTGTTTTATTTCTTCATTTTCTTTCCAATCTTGAAAGATTCATGAAAGTGAGGCATGAACTTTTTACACTCTTCTTATTTAGATGCAAGAAGATTTCTCATTAGTTTATTAGACTATTCTCCTTAATAATATTATCACATCATCTTTTTTAAATTTCTGGAGTGGATTAAGGAAAGATCTGGAATATTCTTAAAAGAAATAGTATTTTTAAATGAAAACTAATATTTAGGGTATTTAATCGAATTGAATTCAGAAAATGTTAAATGTTAGAAAAAATGTTGAAAAAACGACGTCGACAGCAGGATTCGAACCTGCGCAGGCAAAGCCCAACAGATTTCGAGTCTGTCTCCTTAACCACTCGGACATATCGACATTTTTGTTTAATTCAGAATTCGTATAGTATATTTTTTGTTTTAAATATTGATTTTGGCGCCCAAACGAAATTGATTTTTCTTCGTTGGAGCCCTAACTAAATAATTGAGATTTCCCCCCAAAAAGGGCTCTCCACTCTCACGCCGGCAGCAATACCGACGCCCCCCACCCCGGCGGCGTGCAGATCCGGTGCAGCACCTGCGACTCGAAGCCACGAACGACCCACGACGATCGGAGGTGAGATCTGTAGTTGATTCGTTGTTCGATTAGAGGAATGGGAGATTTCTCAGGAAAGATCAACATTGAGGAGTTGTTATCCTATGGCAATGATCTGGTTGCACTCTTGAAGGACCAAAAGGACGTTCAAACCTTGAATCAATGTCTCGAACATGTCAAGGCTCTTCAATCTTTTTGCGATGATGATTTCAGTAATGTTCACAGTTCAGTTCAAGGTCTCTCTCTCTCGTTGTATGATTTCGAAAGTACAGTTGAGCTATGTTTAGGAAAGCGAAGGACAATCTTTAGTGTGAAAATTTGTAATCATTGCGGTTAGCAATTTTGGCAATTAATTTCATATCATTTGTTTTAACGAGTTACTAAACGAAGCAGATTATGAGAAGAAAATCGAGGCATGCCGGCAGAAAACGGAGGAGGCGAAAGCGAGAACTGTTGCAGATGCTGAAATGGATGTTCTCGAAGAGGAGCTCGAAGAGGAACTTAGGAAAGAACATTTGCTCATGGAGGAGATTAGATAAGTATAAAATTAACTTTTAACTGTGAAATTCTTCATGTGATTGTTTGTTCCTAACGTACTTCCCTGCCTCATGTATGATGCATCTGTTTTTCATCAACACACTTGTCACCAGTGAGATTAATGAACTAGACTGCCAAAGGATTTCTGTTCAAGAAAGGAAGCAGGCGATGAAGAAACTTGAGCAACAAGAACTTAGAGCTCAGTGAGTATATTTTCTATTTTGAAGATGTTTTATCATCTGTAATTGTGACTTTTAAGTGTTAATTTAGTAGCAATTAATTAATTCACATGAAATCCGCCAACCCTCTTCTTTTGTAGCAATTAATCGTGACTGTTCATTTAGTAGCAATTATTCAATTTCTTCGATGAATATATGGATACTGCCAATCTAAATGTTTAATATTCAGATCTTAAAGCCATGGCATCCACCATCCCCATAATTTAAACAAAAATAATTTAAAGTTCCTTCTGTTATACCTGCGATCCATTTCATTTGAATTGCGCTTTTGGAACAAGTAGAGAAATATTATTTTGTTCTTATGACTGTACTTTAGTTCTGTGTCTGCATTTAAATTTCTTTTCCTGTGTTGACAATGGGAAATTTGTCTAAAAGATATTTAAAATAAAGATGTACGTGAACGTGTATGTGTCCAGACAGTTCTCTTATCTTTCAAAGTGATGCATATTTTCTATTTTCCTTGCAGGAGGAAGCTTTCAATGTATGCTTCGGTCACTGATATAATTCCAAACATGGATGATCAGTCTAAAATTTCTGGCCGTATCCTTTATCTGAAATTACTCAATTTTTTTCTGTTTTATTTTTCCTGTTGCTATTACTTCACCTTAACGTTAATCAACTACAGATATTGTGGATAGAAACAAAAGGGTGGTGCAGAAGTTCGAATTGGACCCGACTAAGACATCTGCTTTTGATATATGCAATAGCATTTGGGATATGATTAATTCCCCTTAGTACCAGACATCAATTACATTGTGAATTAGCTTGTCATAGCCTTCTTCTTCTTTCTTCATTTCATGCTATTAAAATAGGATGTTTGTTTTGTTGTATATGTATGTTTAAAGAACTAATCTCTGAAGTACTGTGTCGTCTATGATATCTTATTGTAAATCACATCTCCTTGCTAATTTTTGGATCAAAGAACCCACCTTCTAGCAGTTGTTTTGTTTGTATGCATCTTCTGTACGAAACAAGACACCATGACTTACTGAGTGAGTTAACTTTTACAAACTTTGCCCATTAGTTTGGCTTTTATTCTATTTCTATATTGGAAGTAAGCAATTCACTCTAACCCATAAGTTCTTTATGTTACTTGATTAACATAAGTTGCTGGATGAGTTACTCTCTAGTCTGTATTGTTGGCTTGACCTGCAGGCCAAGGGTACAGCATTCCCATGGTAAGGCTTGCAAATATAGGTTGCAAACATTTTATAAGGCTGCTTTCTTCACTCCTCACATCCATTAATGGATATGTATGGGATAGACCAAAACAACCGGAAATGTTTCAAAAAAAGTCAGGCATACGGTGTACAAAAAGTTCACGCCCTTCTTTATCACAAAACCCTTATCACTTAGTTTTCGACTTTTCAGAAATATATTAGCCAATAAATTAGTAGTAGATAAGCAATTTCGCCGGCATACCGTTGTGTAAGCTGCAGTTTATGTTGAAGTTTATGATTTGTGAGCCATAAACGAAATATCTAGTTGCATTGTCTTTCTAGTTGAATTGTCTTTATGTGATGCATATATTTACTTCAGTTGTTTGCATCTCTTTACATTATATTGCTTCTAACAAGGAGGCACATACGGTTGCTATTGGAGATAAGGTGTCACATGCTTTCTTCAACCTTTTAAATTGAAGTGTTAATAGTTCCTCTTAAGCTTTCTTGCAAAATTCTATGTTCCATGAATTTCAGCCCTTTGTAGTTTTAAATCTTTTGTATGACTGATATGAAGAGTATGAGGCATGTTTTGATTAAGTCAAGAGTGCCCATTATGACAGCTTTAGTTTTTTGATACAACAATTTATATCTAATCCTAATGGTTGTTAAAAATGATTAGATCATATAATCATGGGTTGTAAAAATACATTACTATGATGGGATGTCGTTGTATCGAACTCTTGTTCTAATTGATGATATTGTATGTTATTGATAGTAGTGATTGGTGCCATAAATGATACTCATATGTAGAACTAGTAGCGAAGGAACAAGTATTGTTCAGAATATAATTTGGACAGAGAAAATCAAAAAAATTCACCACTGAGCAGGGCAGACAAGATCCAGCCATCTATCAGATTCGGTTTCCACAAGTTTCATAAACCCTTCGGAATATCAGGTTCTATTCTTTCCCTTGTGCTATTATAGATCTTTATAAGTTGAATTTGCCAATGAAACTTATAACTCAAGGACACAATTATACAACCTATAGAACAGATCCTGTTCAAGTAAGGTCGTGAATTTGCCTCTGAAACTTAAACCCAAATTTTATTCCAATCTCTGGTATGTAAAATAGTGTAGATTTGTTTTGTAGATAGAGTTATACTTGTGTTACTTTTCGTGTGAAAGGACAAGATGAGACAGTGAGAGTTTTAACTAAGTTCCAAACTTTATGCTGTCTGAGCAAAGCCGATATATCATCAACACAAAAACATTAGCACTACCTCATTGTAACTCTGCAACTGAAATTGATACGTTCTGAAATTATCATCTACTACTGTCATTTTGTAAATGGAACTTCTCCATTGACTGTAGCATCTAATTTTCTGGCTTGTCTGATCTTGAGATCTCTCCTAGCCAGTATTTAAGATGTCGAGTTTCGCGTTGCAGTTGCATAACAGACTTGACTTCCACCATCGACATTCTCCAGGTACTGGCGGTCGTCGAGCAATATAGCCCTGCAAGCATCTGGTGCAGGACTGCCTTTGTAAGCCTTGCAGATGTAGGCCATGAAGTTTAGGTAGTCCTGGTTCAACAAAAAAAAAAAAAAACAGCTTCATTTTAGAGAATCACAGGCAAAGAACAAGGAAGCCAAACTGGCTCGAATTGAAGCAGACCGACCTCTTGGAGAGGGTGATCATTGACAATGACCCATGGAACAAATCGGTGAGGTGGGTTGAGGCGAGTGGTTTCAGAAGCATAGTTCTGTTCAAGCTGCGTTTCAATGGCTTTCCATATCAGACTCAGTGGCTCAGCAAAGGAAGAAAGAAACAGAGAGAAGATGRTGATGAAAAAGAAAGAAATATTACCACTTTTCCATGGCCATTTCTGTAGCAATCTATTGGCACAGTACTCAACTTGGCAATGTCAAAACACTTGGTCCATTCATTGTGTCTATTTTGCACTGTAAATCCTTCAACACAATGGATGAATCTGAAATGCTTTTCCTTCGCAGGCCAAAAAACACATATTGGCAGACTTTTCAATTCACATAAATGTGAGTCTGAACATATGAATCAATATATTGATGGAAGCCACAATTATTCATAGTAATGAAAATGTCAATTGAAATGATAACAAGTTGGACTAAAACTTTACTCCATGAGAATTAACATTATCAATAAGCATTGTTCTAATTTATTTTACAAGAGTACAAATGGAGGTGAGACTAGGGTAGGTGTGACAAATCAGAGACTTAGATCAAATCTTAAATTAATTAGACTTGTGAGTTATTTTTTTTTGATATGATATGATTAGACTTGTAAGTTGAGCCATCATTAATAGGTAAACATTCATTTGATATTAGAAATTATCTATTAAAAACACTTTTATGCCCATATTCATATGAAAAAATTAGGTTTAAATACTATTTTAATAAAAAAATATTCATTTTGGTTTTTATGCTTTTTAAAAATGACTATTTTAGTACTTTGGTTTTATTTTTATTTTATTTATTTTCATTAAAATTTTAGCATGACACTACATTCACCAATTTTTTTTTTAATGTAGCTGTAAATTTGTATTAAAAAAATTACTATTGTGCATAAAATTTGAGTTAAAGTTTTGTAAATAGAGAYCAAAATGATACTTTTTAGAGCATCCTAAAAGTATAAAGATCACAATAAACAAAAAAAAAACACGTAGAGCAAAATAATATTTAAACAAAAACAAATGAGAAGCAAATAATACGAAAAGCAAATGAAGTAGAAGTGGTTTACTGTATCAGGGTAAATTGAAATTGTGCAAGCTTCAATGCTGTTCAACATGCATTCATCAGGTCCATGCTGCACCCATACAGTTACATTTTTTAGTTACGATAAATGTTAAAAAAAAATAAAAAATCATCAATATCTGATATAGTAAGTAAATACTTAGATTAGAATGGGATTATTAAAAATTAGTTAGACAAAGTTCTGGTGAGTTATTAAAGAAAGTTGACCAAAGAAAAATATTAGCATTTATAAATCTAGTTGAAATGGTGGGTGCCAGCCAGCAGACTGCAGTTCTTGCAGTAACAACATTTAATAGCATGGTTGGGTATTGGTCCATCATAATTACCAATATTTTCAATTTAGCCAATGGTACACGACAATTTTTTAAGTCTCGAGATTGAGGAAAAAATTGAAAAAAAAAAAATTCAGTAAAATTGGAAACTGTAAAATGGGGGACCTGGCAGAGGAAGGCGCCGTCGTCGGGGCGGATCCAGGCGTTGCCCCAAGGGATCATCCGGAGATGGACGGTGGAGATGAGGCCGTTCTGGAAAAGCTTCACCAAATGGTAAACTACGAAATTTGCACAGAATGGGCAGAGAGATTCGTAATATACAGACACTGTAACTTTGTCCTCAGAACCCCAACAGAAAGATGAAGAGAAGATCAGCAGCAACAGAACCCACACGGCGCCGACCCGTCCGCCAAAACCACCCATTTCCTTTACCGGGTCGACCCGATTCCACTTCATCCTCTTCTCTCCTCTCCAGTCTCCTCTTTTTTCATTACACTCTCACTCTCAGCTTTCTCTTTCTCAATTATATCTCTTTTGCTTTAACTAATTTGCTTTTCCTTTTTCGCTTTTCTTTCTTTTCAGTCTCTTATTTTTTGTTCTTCTTTTTTCAATTTTAATTTATTTTCCTTCTTATATTCTCTCAAAACGTTGGTTTTTTTGTTATTGTACTTGTAAGAAGGGATCATTTTGCGAACTAATAACTTCTTGGTTTGAGATATATGTCAATCACCGCTAGTTATGTTCGCTTTGCCTATTACACAAATTACTCGTACACTTGTATATATTTATTATTATTCTTCAAAGAGAAATACATGAGATGTTATTTTTCTCTCCAAGTCAAACTTAATAAGAAGGGAATAAAATGATAAAAAAAATAAAGATACCAAAATAAACATTTTCAAAGTATAAACACTAAAATCCAAAGCTAATAGTACATGGACCAAAATAAAAATGTTCAAAATACATTACCAAAATAGTATTTTAACTTTAGAACCAAAATATATGCATATCCATTATTGCATTGAAAAGGGTTAAACAAAATAAAGGTGTAAATTATTAAATTTTCATGGAAGGATAATATTTAACCAAAAACAAAATAAGAATCCTACTCATTCATACGATTATGGAAAGGGGTGTCATTGTAGGTTTTGAAAAGTATTTATTTATGTAATTTGATATCAATAAGTTGATTGTGAAAATTGTTTAATATCTGTGGATAGTCTAGAAAAGGGTAAATTTTAAAAGTATATAGTTATGTAGTCCAAAAATGTAAGCAAAGTCGTAAATAATTAATCCAATCTAAGGTTATCCAAATCTAAAGTGTGAGTTAGATATCCCAAAAGCTATATTATTGGCAAGATTTTATATCTAAAGTTTGTTCAAACAACTTTTTCTCTTTATTCCCTTTCATGATCCAACAAGATTTTAATTATATATTAAAAAAATCCCATTCGATACTTGGCTTCTAAAATAAGATTGATTTAACATTATTTTCATATTGAAGAGATATATACAACCCAATTTGGTATTAGGGTTACATTAAATTTCTCTATACATACTACCTTGTAAAAGTAATTTGACATGTTATAGGAAGATAGAAGAAGAACGAACCAAACTATAGAAGCATATACTAGGTCGGAGAAGAAGTGCACGAACTAGGTAAGCACCGAAAACCGTCAACCCGAGTCAATCCAGGTCGACCACGACAGACCCGTGGTCGGGGTCGATACCTTCTCGGCCAATCGAGAACCCTCCTTTGGTTCTCTTCGACTTTTGTACAGCCCGATCCGTACTTGTCCTATCTCAACCTTTGATCCGACACTAGGCCACGACGAAACACATGGGCCCAAGAGTACATATCTTTGAACACACTAGGATTCGATTTATGTAAATCCTAAAAATATTAGAATTCAACTTCTATAAATAAGAGGATGAACCGAACCTAAAGGTACGCTAAAATATGTTATAAGTCTCTGCTATTTGCTATGTTAAAATATGCTACAAATCTCTACTCTTTSCTACGYTGAAATACCATACTCTCCATACTCGACTACTCTGATTCTGACTTAAACACGGAGTCTGTGTGGTAAAAGCAATCCTTATTCATTCTCGATGGTAAAATCAACGCCAGTCTTTAGTGCTATATAGTTTTTCAAGTTGGTCGATCCCTTTTATTCTAAAAGATTTGTRCGAATTTGGCAGAATTCCAAGATGTCAAATTTCTGCATCATGACACCAATTTTATTTCTTAAAAAAATTATAGAAAATGGGTTACATTTAGAAAAAAGAGGGGAAGTATTGAATTAAAACATAAATATTGGGATTGTTGGTATTATGAACAAAAATTTGTTCTTATTTTTATTTATTATCGATAGACATTGTAATTTGAAAAATAATCTAAACTAGTATTCTTTTTAGTGTAGTAGACTCGTTTTAACAAGGATGCATTTTTATATTTTWCGAATTTTTAAAATTTGACCACCAAAGCCCGATCGGGATCTAAATGATTTTTTATGTATGTCTAATGTCTTTAAGCTCAGTCGGATCTAGGGAAAGACAAACMTATACCYACCTACCAGTTCTAAGTGGCAAGATCAATGAAAGAAAATAGGCTCAAGAGAACAACCYGTTTTCTTCTTYTTTTATATCCCATAGATCAATGAAAGAAAATAGGCTCAAGAGAAGAATCYGTTTTCTTCTTCTTTTATATCYCATTGTATACATCATAATAGAACCCTATTTTTCAAATCTGAAAGTAACCTCTCGATAGTCCTACACATTTTAGATTACGTGGAAGGAATGGAATGACTAATGTGAYGTGAAACCTCCACRAAGAAAAAACTCTTTGGACTTCCTTATCCATATGGCCACCCAATCCGTGACAACCYCATAACAAAGAATGCTTATTTACTTAAACACGAAATTCAAAATTTTTCAAGAAACAATTTTAATTCTTATAAAATTTTACCCCATATTAATTTAGCTAAGATAATTTGTCATGAGAAAGTGAGTTAAGATATCATTAATCTTTTGGTAACGTTTTAGAATTCTAGTTTTTCATTTTCAATTTTTGAGAAACATAAGTACTTAGTACTCAACTAGTTCTATTTCTATTTATCGTTTCTTTTATCTTCAAGAAACATTTCCAACAAGAAAATAGAGTTTCTCTTGTTTTTTACTTTTGCTTATAATTTTTTCAAATAGATAAAAATATCATTTTATCAATTTTATTAAGTTTGCTTTCTTATCACATTTTTTACTTATAAAATGTATAGTAAATAAAACCTACATTTTAAATATTTAATTTTGAAAAATTAATTTTTATATAAAATTTTTACTTTTTTTTAATTTAAAATTTTATAGAATAAAAAGGCTACCAAACATTGTTTGTTTCCAAATATAATTSGACCTTTTTATTAGAAAAGAAAAACAGAAAACGATAAATAATAAATAATACATAAAAATCAAAGAAATAAAAACAGTAATTATCAAATAATTATTTTTCTTTATTAAAAAAAAGAGAATCTAGAAATGAGCTAAACACGTCGACAAAGTTAAACAAAAAATGGTCTAAATATTTGGAGCCCATGAATATTAGACTTTTGCGGCCCAAACAAACAACGGGGCCCAGGCCCAAATGGGAAGTCCCACTAACTTGGACAGATTCCATCCGGCACAGAATCCAAGACATCGAATAAAACTCCCACCGACTTTTAATTTAAATATTCCAAAAAATACGCCACGCGTTGAAGTTTCATTGGATAAAAGAAGAATTCCCATCAGACAAAATTTCAAAAAATACGTGTAACCTGAAAAGAGCCTCCTTTTTTTAATCCTCACCTGAAACAGGACGGTCGTCCAATTCCTCAGCCATCCAAATATATATATATAAATGCAAAGTTCCACAATTTCGTTGACGCCTCTAATCGGAACCTTCCAACTGAAACAGTAAAATTGAAGAGAGATGGAAAACAGAGTTGCAGAGGAAAATCCTCAGAACTCCATCGGAGGAGAAGAAGAAGAAGAAAAATCGAATGGGTTCCTGAGGAATTTAATCTCGAACATGGTCTCTGAAGAAAATAAAGATGAAGGAGAAGAAAAGGGAAGTGGGTTTCTGAGGAATTTCATTTCGAGCATGGTTTATGCAGAGGGAGATGAAGAAAACGAAGAAAAAGAAGAAGAACAGAGTGTTTCTCGGGAAACAGGGGAAGTGGGAAGCGGTAATGGATTGGCGGTTTTGGAAGATCAAGGCGGCGTTTCTGAGTCGGCGGAGGAAAATGGCGGCGGCGGTGGCGGTGGCGGCGGGAATGGCGGAAAGGGGATCGGCAATATGATTTCTGAGCTGTTTCATTCAGGTAAACGAGAAACAGAGGAGAAGCCGGAGGAAAATGTAAAGACAGAAGAAGAAGAAGGCGGCGGCGGTGGTGGCGGCGGCGGCGGTGGCATTATTGATAACATCATTTCCCACTTGCCTGCTTCACTTCAAGGTCGGTATTTTTCTTTTAAAAAAAAGGTTTAAATCTGGTTTTGGTTTATAAATTTTTATGATTATTTTGTTATATTTTGGTCCTAAGTTGATAATTTTTGTCTATGTAATCAAAATTACTAGTTTACTCACTCACTTATAGCTTTATTATTTTAATTTTATGCGGAGTAGACTTAGAAATTAAAAAATATATATATATTCAAATAAACTAGGAACTTATTATACATGAAAAGAAATCAAGGATCATAAAGTTGAACGTAGAGTTATGGTATATAAACCTAAAAAAATGTCATTCAAGTTTAAATATTTTTGGAGATGGATATATTAATATTAATGGTGGTGTAATTTGATGAACGAAACAGGTGATGCAGTGACGACCACTGATGAAGCTGCAATTTTGGTTCACTCCATTATCCATGAATAAGTGTTTTTTTTTTTTGGTATTTTGTTAATTGCTTATGTTTTGTGTTCATAGGTCTCTCCTAGCTTTAGATTTTGGTTGGTTTGTTTGTTTTTTTATTTTTATTTTTAATTTAATTTGACATAGATAGGATACCAAGGAATTCATTTTTGGAAAGATTTTGACTATCGTCTGTAAATTCAAGCTATCATTTTGATTTTTGGACTTGACACTCCGTTTAAATAAAAAGATAAGATAAGAGAAAAAGACATTGATATTTGACTATTTATTGTATTTATATTCTACTTAGAATCTATTAACTTCTGGGTCTAACTTGTAATAAACATTAAAAATAATAATAATAATAATTTATGATGCAGTTGATTTGAGTTTATATATTGAATGGATCCTTCCATCACTTGCTCTATAAAACTAATCCAAATACAATTTGTATATGCTAAATTGGCTAAATATAATCAAACCTTAAAATTTAGCATAGGGGTTTTGAAAGCATCAATTTCTCAATCCACATAAGAAATGGTGACAACATATATTATTCTTTCCCATAAAATTCCATATCTTTGGACAATGTTTCTAGCTCTTTGTCCATTTTGCCCACCAATCCACCCTACAAAAATGGGCATTGATGGAACTTGATGAGGTGTTTGATTTGGCAATGGATTTGAGGCTAAGTTGCTGTGATTCAAGCATCATCTCATGGCTGGCCCCTATATTACCCAAAACCAAAAGGGGTTTTAGGCTTTTTGCATATGGAGAAGAAATGTTTTTCAAGTTTGTGTTTCTTCCCATTTTGATCTCATGTGGAGAAGAATTTGAATTGGGTTTGTTTGTTGCCTAAGTATATGGTTTTATCTTCKGTGTTTGTATCTTTGTTTTTTCAGATTGAATATATGAGCAGTAATTGACATCTACTCATTTACACATTTTTGTAAAGTTCGAAGGTTCGAATCTTGGTGTCCCAATTTGTTGTACTATAAAAAATTAAAAGATCTAATAGTAATTTTTATGTCTTTTCAAACTTATTCTAATTACAAGTAGTAAAKGTTAAAATTCACAAACAAAATCATGGTATGGCGTAAAGTACATATTCTATTAGTGTATTGAGTTGGACATGATAACTCATAAAAATAGAAATAAAATTTTACCTATGTCACGTTTTATTAGGATGTTTGATAAATGTTTTAACTTTGAAAAGTGTCTAGTACATGCGTCCATAACTTTCAATTTTGTTTTCAATTGGTTCTCAAACTCTTTTTTTTTTTATTATCATTATTAAATCTAACATTGAAAGTTTAGAAACTTATTAGAAATTTTTTGAAGTTTAAAAACCTAGCAGACATAACTCTAAAAATTCAATGATCAAATTTATAATTTAACCTAATTTATTTGACTAACAAATGGGGTATTGGTGTTGTAGAAAATAAAGCTATTAAATATTACTATTACATTAAAAATTGTTCACTTTCAAACATCACAACATCATTCTTTTAACATGAACTTGATTAAAAAAAACTTTTGACACGAGACTTGAAATTGAAGTCTGTATTTGACCTATATCTTTATTTTATCTTGTTAATACCCTCTAATCAAATTGTATTGGTGGGTTGTTTAGATTATTCATTTCATTAATCTATTTGATTGTAAGTTGGGATATAAAACTAAACCCCTTTTATCATAAATTGGAATAGGAATCAATCAAAATGAAAAAAATGCTACTCCTTTGACATTGTTTACTAACAAATTTTTGGAATCAAAATTAGAATTTTTTTTTTATAAGGTTTGGAATTCGACCTCTCTTTATACGCAAGGTCATCAATCGAAAATCAAGACAAAGCGAGCACCCAGGGCTATGTTCTTTCCTTCTGGATCTACCTCTTTGATCTGTGATGCATGAGTCGGAGGGATAACACAGTCACCCGCTATTTCCAAACATAGAGTAAGCTTCACCCATCCCCCATTTTGGAATTCCTTTCGGTAGTGGATCATGTTGTTTACTAAAACTATCTGGAGATCGGAATAGTAATCAAATATATAACAATTACTAGTATATCACTCTTTTTTCTAGCAACTATAAATATATTAGTGTGATGATTTTTTGATTAAAATATTTAACAAATTTTAATTTATTTTATTACTATTTTATTGATAGTTAATATTTTTTATTATAACAATTTATTTAATATTAATAAATAATAAATAATTAAAATAAAATTACATCAACCTAACATAATTCTTATTAGAACCATCATCATTTAATAAAATCTTAATAAATTTTATTATTCTAATATTTAATAATCATGAATTATATTAAAAAATTATTGTTATTAATTAAGATTAACAAAATAAAATTATATAATTAAATATAAATTTAAAATATTTTATAATAAAATCACATCTAAATTTTTATTAGAAAAAAAAGAGTAATAATATAAATAAAAAGAATAAAAAAGTGTAAAATAATTCATTAAGAAGTTGTGGATCTCGTTAATAGAAAGAAATAAATGATAAAAGTTATAAATCAACTATAACAAATGGTGGGACCACCGAATAAGAAATAAGAATGAAATTGATGAGATTGCAATGAATGAAAATATCTCATTTGAGAGAAAGTGATTACAAAGTTTAGAGYGGATCCGTATAATTTAGTAAACACGGTCAAAGAAATGAAAATTTGGATTATCGGTACTTCATTTTCATTCGTTGCAGGTAAACATGAGCTAATATATGAACACTAATTAAGTGATCACAAACTTAAAGTGGAGTTCCATTGGGTTTCCATTGAATTGAAGTTGGCTTTGAGTTCACTAATCCTTAAAAAGTCATATTCCAATCACTCAACATCACAAAATGAGAGAGAGAGAGAGAGAGAGAGAGAGAGAGAGTGGATAAAACCAGTTGGTGAGATGTCAAAGCAAAGGCAAAGGCAGTTAGGGATTGCACATGATCAACTCCTATTTACGTTAATCTTATTTATCTTCTCAATACTTCCACTTAATCTCTCTAGGTTCATTGTTAACTCTACACTTTGCTCAAATTTTAGCAAAACACTACTTTCATATACGTCAAAAAAAAATGAAAAGAAAAATATATACATAATCATGTCGAAAAATACCTCTAACACTACCTCTAAACTCAATAATGTATAGACTCAAGTCAACGTGAGCTTACGTACAAGCTCAAGGAGAAATTATTAGTTTCGATTGAAATAATAGTTTACTCATGTAGTTCAAAAATTTGTAACTACTTAGTCATCGAACTTCAGTTTCTCCAATATAGAAAATATCATTATGATGTAATATGGTTTAACATGCATAACAACCACCAAAGGGGAAAAAAGACCGATTAATGGGATCCAAGTGGTTGCGTCGTTAAATCCCCGAATCATTTTAATGAAATTACAAAGATTAAATCTTTACAAGATTAAATCGTACATGGATCAAATGATCACCTCTAATAACTTCTCAAGAGGAATAAAGAGGAATAGAGCGGTTATACGAGTATTAAAGAATACAATCATTATAGAGACAAAAGGAGCCTTTTGGATAAAGAAATACACGTGGAGAGAGAACACAAATAGAAGAAATGATAGAAAAGGCAAACCAACCGTTTGAGTTTGAGGATGGCCCCAATTGACCAACTTCCTCGGTGTATTTTAATGAAGAGAATCTATTTGTAAACGATAGATGGGGAAAGCAAAATCCAAACTTCATTACTCTTATTTAATTTTAATGCTCCTCAAATCCCAAAACGCTCCTTCTTCTCCTTCCCATCTTAACTTTGAACCACTTTCACTGTATTTGGTCCTCATTTCCATGCCTTATAATTGGCTAATCCTTCTTGGTTTTCACTGTTTTTGGATTACCAAAATGGACCCACATTCAATTCAGCTCTTAATTCTCTGATTTTGGGGATTTGATGGGATCGCTTCTAAAAGGGCAATACCAATAATACTCCAAACGTCCGTCTCTTTCTTTATAAATTAACTCTGATTTTGACTCTTCAGATAGAGAGAGAGAGAGATTGTATATATAAAGTGAAGATTAGTTGAAGAGTGGAGCCTGCAGGTGAAGAAGAAGAAGAAGATGAAGAAATGGCGATTTTCGGGTTATTTTAAACGCTCATTCCTCTTCCCCTCTAAGCTCTTTTTTCTCCATAAGCCTAAAGGTAATCTTTCTCTTTCTTTCTCCTCTCTCTCTCTCTCTCTGTAATTTGATTCAGAAATGGGTAAAAATTGCAGGGAATGGAAATGGGCTGCTGAGCCTCTACAAGGACATAGAGTCTTGTGGAGAGTACAGAGATATTCAAGTGATGTGGGATATGATTCAGATTCAGTCCTGTGCTCCCCACAGTGTTCATGCAAACAGAGGAAGCAGATTCAGATTGGGATTTTCTTCTACTTGGAGATCATTCTGCTTCCAGCCAACTTAAGGAACACAAAATTGCTTTATCTTCTTCTCTGCACTGCACCACAGAATGTTAATATGTAAAGAGAAATAGGAATCACTTTTTGGAAATGTGAAAGCTTTTCATTCAAGATCATAAAGCTTGCTTGTCTTTGATTGCAGCTTTGCCCATGTTTTCATATGATCTGCAGATGATGAGAGAGAGCTTTTGATCGAAACCCACATGGGAAATTTTCATCAGAATTTGCTGATGTTCATGATCTGCAGAACATTCTGGTTCCTGTTTGGTTTTTGGTCTGTTTCTTGTTGTGTTGATGGTCTGGTTTTTTTTTGAAATTCTGGTCCTTGGTTTTGAGCCATTCATTTGCAGAGACTGCATTGGACAGGAATGTAATGCCAAGACCTTATTTTGGAAGGAAACTATTAGCTATCGAACTTATTATATATTACCCATCAAAATTTTAGGATTGATCTATGAGTGCATGCATCCACCAATTATATATCTCATCTTTTCCCCTCATGTGAGCTTGTCTTTTTTTTTTCTCTTCAAAACTACATTTTACTTGCCTTTTTTTTTTCTCTTCAAAACTACATTTTATAGTCATGATGGCCATCTACCTTAGAAATTATTAATTCCTATGTGTTTTCTGACACCAAATGTTGTAGAGTGAGGTAGTTGTCTCGTGAGATTAGTTGAAGTGCGCGTAAACTGACCCAGACACTTATGGATATCAAAAAAAAAACTACACCTTACAGCGACTCGTTCCTCGCCGGTATCATCTATGAAATATACTGAATTAACTGAAAACTGAAGATTCTCATAAAAAATGTGGGTCAAATTTTATAAGAATGTTGAGATATGGTAATGAAGAAATGAATTGTGGAAGACCCATTTGAACCCATTTGGAGAAACTGAGGTCCATTCCATTTTGTTTTGGTTCTGTTTCTTGTCTGCCACCTTTTTCTTGAGCTTTCCCATGTCCTAATACTCATTAATGTGAGAGAAATAAATAAAAATTGTCATTGGGAGGAAAAGAATATGCCTTTTTTTTTTACCAGTTAAGTGAGGAATCTGAATTCCTAAAAGATACTGGGTTTTCAGAAGAATCTCCAGAAATTGACATTAGATGATCGAAATGGCTAAAGACAAATTTGATGCTCACCAGATAAGACCTAGTTCAACAACCTGTCTGTTTCCACAGCTCACCAAGTTCAAATCCAAAACCATGTCTCATTCATCTTTTTCTGATATAATATAACCCCAGAATTATTCCCAGAAAATTGGACGAACGAAGATGAATAAGCTTGAATCAACATGAATGTAATCCGAATCTTTCTTGATATTTTACTCAACTTGAAAAATGGAGGAACAAAAGGCTATGATAGCTCCTCTAAACGATGCTCTGTGATTAGAAATATATACGCAGAAAAAATAAAGAAAACATCACCTCACAAAAGCTATGGAGCATGGCGACAACCTCATTCCATTGAAACAGAGGTCCATTTTCGAAGCCATTTATTACGCTACAGCCTCTGTTTCTAATTCTGACCCCTTTTGACGCCAGAGTATCATTCTCTGCAACACCATGGCCACGAGCGTCTCGCACTCTCCTGATTTCCACCCAGAAATTTCTGTTTCGCCGCAGACCCACGACGGCCTTTACTTCTGGCAGTTCATGGTCGCCGGGTCGATTGCCGGGTCCGTCGAGCACATGGCCATGTTTCCGGTGGATACTCTCAAGACCCGAATGCAGGCCCTCGGCGGATCATCCCCAATTCAACCCATCGGGGTCCGGCAAGCACTGAGCTCAATTCTGAAGCTCGAAGGTCCCGCGGGGCTCTACCGGGGCATCGGAGCAATGGGTCTCGGCGCAGGACCTGCACACGCCGTCTACTTCACAGTATACGAAATCTGCAAAGAGGGGTTTACAGTTGGAAATCCGAACAACCCAATAGGCCATGCCATTTCTGGAGTCTGTGCGACGGTGGCGAGCGACGCCGTGATAACCCCAATGGATGTGGTGAAGCAGAGGCTGCAACTGGAAAGCAGTCCTTACAAAGGAGTGGGAGACTGTGTGAGGAGGATTTTGGTAGAGGAAGGAATTGGGGCGCTCTATGCCTCTTATAGGACCACGGTTTTGATGAACGCGCCGTACACGGCTGTCCATTTTGCCACTTATGAAGTTGCAAAAAGAGGCTTGAAGGAGATCTCGCCAGGCAGTGACAACGACGAGAAGCTTGTTGTTCATGCTACGGCTGGTGCAGCAGCAGGGTCTCTCGCTGCTGCTCTCACAACGCCACTGGACGCTGTGAAAACTCAGCTACAGTGTCAGGTACACAACTATTTCCTATTGGCCTCTAGTGGATTCCTTGTTTCCCTATGCCCTAAAGATGGTATAAACCCAAAAGTGATACTAATCCTAGATTTTTAGAAGTTTCAAATACGTATTTGAATTTGAAATTGGGATTCTATATCAATAATAATATGGCATGAATATGAACTGGTTTTTGCTACACAAACAGGGAGTGTGTGGATGCGACAGATTTTCAAGCAGTTCAATTGGGTACGTACTTGGGCGAGTGGTGAAGAAGGATGGGTACAATGGACTGATGAGGGGGTGGATTCCAAGGATGCTCTTCCATGCACCTGCTGCTGCAATTTGCTGGTCCACTTATGAAGCTTCAAAAACCTTCTTTCAACAGCTACACCATGACAATAGTTAAAAGAAGCTGCCCCATTTACAGCAGTAAACTCAATAGCAATACTTTCACAATAGCAGGAGAGAAGAAAGAGGTTACAATAATGATGTGAATACTGAGTGTTGTATTCCAATATCAGTGATGTTATATAATAAAATAAAATTACAACTATGAGGCGTGCGTATAGATTGAGAAATGAGAAATAACTGCAATCCGATTATGAAATGATGTCATTTAGAATGCAGATTGGCAAGTCTTCTTATAGATCATTCAACCAGAAGTTTGAAAAGGAGAAGAGCACTGCGTACCACTTTTAGACATCAGAAAATAGCAGGTAATCGGAATATGGTTGGGTAAGATTCTCGGCTTTACAGTAATTCGTTCAAGATCGAAAGTCTATAACAAGGTAAAGCTTAAGGTATATATACCGACCCAACCACACACTTCCTACATTTTAGAACTTATCAACACTTACACCATCTCTAAGGACCTCGTAAGCCTCTCTTTTCCTGGTTTTCTTCATTCCAGCTGTGAAGTTGAGCTTTGGTCCATCAGAAGCAATACAAGACACCTTTACCCATATTATCACTTTCGTTTTCATTCCCTCTATGTCAGCTAGCTTTCCTTTCTCCAGATATCCAGTTACAGTGGTGGAAAAACGCAAGACTGATGAGTCTTTATAGCCAACTTCACAGATTTCTGGAATGAAAACAGTCAACTTTCCTGTCTCCTCATTGAACTCATAGTTGGTTGCATCACGAGGAAAAATTCCCACAGCTAAGTCATAATCCTTCAGCAGGTCCGGCAAAGGTTTTTGCATTTTTCCTATTAAGCCCAAAATAGATCAATCAAAATAATGTACTAATAAATCCTATTAATTTATAGGTATATTAAGCACACTGATGAGATGTAGTCCTGAGCCAGGAGATATGACGACTACTTTCGCACTGTTAATACAACTTCATAAAAATTAAATAACTTGCAAATTTATGCACAGAAATACACAACCCATACTTTAGAGGCCTACTCTAGCATGGCATGTGGTGCCCTTCATGCAATTGGAGTATCACGTGATAATATATCAATAATGCGAACAGAACCTACAAATCAACAAAGAAAGGACTAACCTTTTATTTTATTGACCAACCAGTTGGTTCCATCTTGAAGACTGGTTGATAATGACTGATAATAGAAGAATAAAAGTAAGGCAATAGATATRAGCTTATGATGAAGTAGTTATGAATAATGAATCAAAAGTACGGGGTGCAAAGGAAGGGAGCAAAGTATAAATTTCTGTGGTACACGCACAAATCGACAATTCAGCCTGAAAAAAATTAAAAAATAAAGCTAGGGGAAAATTCTTTTTCTTGGACAAAGAAACTGGCATTAGACCCCTGATATACCAGCCGAGTAGTACATAATATGATATGAAACTAGACATTCTAGAACATCAGAAGAAAGACATACCAAATAGTTCTCTTCTCATTGAACGGAATACATCTCTGACAAAAGTCAAATAACACTACCATTTGTTAAATTACTCAAGTTACAGAAAAATTCCACGCAGTTTTGAAAACATACAAAAACCCCCCAATACATTTTGGAATTTGACATTACATCCAAAAATTCTGCTTTTCAAGGAGACTGTCACTCTAGCATAGGAATTATGAGCCATATAATCTTATGTCCAAAAGATCCAGGCGAGCAGTTTATCAGATAAATAAGGGAGGCTTATGCTTCTTCCTAGTTGAAAATGAGACCACCATCATAACTTAGACATTGTTGTCCAAGCAACAACTGGCAGTACAGAATTAGACATCAAATAAAGGGGGCTGTGAGCTAACTTAGGCATTTAAATGGCGTAGTAGCAAATATCCCAATGCAATAGTGTAGAATTAGAAACCGTATGAACGCCCCCAAACAGAATTGGGAAAATTGGCGCGCTAGCTCCGCCAGCTAAGATGGCAATTCGACCAAGCAACATGACAATCCTATCCCAGAAGAAAGGGCCAAGATTATCCTATTCAATTTCAAACCCTAGGTCATTGAATCAAATTGCTTTTCCAGAATCTAAATCCACAGAATAAAAATTGGCATTGGCAAGCATCTTGCCAACACAAACGATCGAAAATTAAATATGTAGAAAGTGTTAATTAAGGGAAAAAAAATGAATCTACGTAACCGACATCATAAAAGCCCCAATTGTGAAATAAAAACGAAAGAAATAATCAGCAGCGCGCAACAAAGGAAAGGGCGTAGGAAACGAAAGCATTGAGCAATTAATTAGGCAAAAGAAAAGCTGGAGAGGAGAGAAAAGTGGGAGTACATTAATATCATCGCCGATGGAGCCGATCTCTTTGGTCGCCTTCTGGTTGAACCAATAGGACCCTACTTTGTTCATAACCTGATCCATTTCCACCGTCGTTCCGACGATCAATAGAACGGAAAATCAATAGGACTCGATCCTTAACGAAGAAGCTTCAGCCAGTTGGGTCAATTTCGAAATCGAGAGAGAGAGAAATGGCGATTAGAGAGAGAGATGAAATTGGCTCGTCTCGTCTCCCTCCCCACGCGTTCTTCCGTGCGACTTTTCTGAAAATTGAATTTTAATTTACAACTTTGAATTTTGTTATTTTAGTATCGCTATCTAATAGCATCAGCAGTTATCAATTATCATCACCTTTTTTTTCTTTTTTTTTTTTTCCAATTTCAACCAACTACATGTCGCCAAAATTAATTGGATCTTAGTCTCGAGTTAATTACGACGTGTCGCTCATACACCGTTGGGCACCACCCGCACAATCGTTGGATATGCTTGGACGTTTTCTTTAACTATTGCTTTAATTTCAATTTCGTCACCAAATTTTAGATTAAACTTATAATTTCTCCCTAAAGACCTGAATTTGGATTCGTCCTAAATCGGTTTTACTTATTTAAAGGTCGAGAATACCAACTCGACAGGAACATAATTCATCACATTTACTTTTTCTCTTAAGGTTGAATGTATAAATCTCTATACTTCACCTTTATTGTATGGAAAAGTTGTGAGATTGGTGATGGGAATGATGATTGTTAAAGTTTTAACTAAATTATTTTGGACCAAATTTGAAAGTAAACTTAGTAGACGGYGAAAATCAAATTGAAACTTTTAAAATTTGAAACAAACTTCAAGCTATGTGAGCTGAATTGGTAATTAAAAAAAAAAAAAAAACAAAACCATTCCATTGAACTCTCATTTTAATCTCTAATTTTATATATTTAAAATGTCTAATCATTTTGGTCTTTTGGGGTTATTATATGGTTCAACCCACCTCAATCATTCCATGTGGCTTTCCATATATTTCTTTTAACAATTTATCTTCTATAATTTGAAATATTATGAAGGAAAAAAAAACATATATATCATTTTCTATTTCTGTTGAATTAGCTGAAATTCACCAAATTTAAATTTTAAACTTTCCATTTCATCATACTAAATTCTAAATTTGAATGAGAGAAACAAATATTATTCTAAAAACATCTCAAACTTCAAAAATTAAATAGATCAAATGTGAACTTTTAAATGGGAAAATTTTGAAATTTCTCTCTATAAGCCTCTTTTAAATACAGTATAATTAAAATTGTAAATATGCACAAATTTTCCCCCATTCATCTTTCTTCTCTGCGTGTAGTAGAAGTTCCATGTTGAACCATATGCAGAGTTTTATGATAGCAAATTGCATAACTAAAATCTATGCAATTTAATCTTAAAAATAATAATTATAAGACTCCGTCAACATTTCTAATGTCCATGAGCTTCATATTGACATAAAAAATGTATCGACAGGAAAAAAAATCGACAAAATATAAAAATAAATATCAATAAAATATCACTAATATAAAAATAGTATTAATAACAAAAAAAAAATTTTAACTTATTCAAAAGGTGAAATTCTTATTTGTTAATTTAGATATTTTATAATTATTTTAAATATTATCGATACTTACATCAATATTTTTATATAATTAAAATTATAATTTACGTGAACATCGACATTTAAAATCGAGAATACATTTTAATATACGGTGCTCATGGATCCTCACGTCTCTCTTGAATTTCTCAATGGCCTTTCCAGAATGAATAGGGGTCATTGCCCGTTGGTGCCTTCCAAGGAAGCAGCTAACAGTGGACGCTAACTTCAAAACAAAACTAATTAATCATTTTAAATCTTCACCTTCGAAATTTTTATATTTATCTGGTTCTTTATATTTTCAAATGTTTTACAAACACACCGATCATTTGATATTTCCACTGTTGTTCTTGGTATTGTATTTAATATAATTTATAGACCATATGTTTTTTATTTTGACAGGTTTAGAAAATAAATTTACTCAATATTGTTGATGAGAGATTCTAGTAAGGTGTCATGTCGGCTAGCGAGATGGACTACGGATAAGATGAGTTGGTTACCTACAAATAGAAACTTACACCAGAGTGATACTAGGTCACGTACAGAAACTTAAGTCAACATTTAGTCCGAGTTTGTGCTGAGCTTAGTTTAATAAAGTTGTATAAGGATTTTGTACTTTTGAAGAGGTGGGACTCGGCCACGTTTTTTAAGGGAGCTTTGGAAAATAAAGTCCTACCATTTTAAAACACATCTCTATCTAGATCTGGTGTCAACACGATTCCTATGGGTGTCAATTGCCTTTCATAGGACTTGTGTTCGTGAAATCTCATCGAGTGTATCACCTAATTCTAGGTTGGCATCGAGTCTTACTGTCTTTTAGATCCATGATAGGTGACTTTGGCAGTCCTACTTCATCTTTCACCAGTCGAGTTGAGGCTAACTACATATTTTTGGATAAACAGTCTACGTAGCAGGCTCTAAACCTACCTATATAACAAATATAATAATAATAATAAAAGTTGGCGGCCAAAACCAATTTTAATTTAAAATTGCAAATAGGAGAATAAATTGAAGTTCAAAAAGTTAATTATCTAGGCAGAGTCGACAAATGTCCTCAACTAGAAAACTATGAATACATTTTCTTAGGTATTATAAATCAATTATGTAGCATCAAACTAGAGCCAATGACTTTTTAAGATGAATTCTTCTTTTTTGAATGATTGCTAACTAGGATAAGATTTTAATTAGGATTTTTTTATTAATCAATACCATTTGGTTTATTCTTTCATAGAAATTGATGTGTATTTTAATTTTTTTATTTTAAAATAATATACCATGTCAACCTCCCATTATAAAAAGTTTCAAGTCACTCATATTTAACAATTTAAATTTCTTTTAAATTAAAAATTAACTCAATGTGAAATATACAAATTTTTACAGTGGTATAATTTAGAAATTTTTACGTAAAAGTTCTTCAATTTCTTTTGTGCGTAAGACTTTTAACGAAAAAGATTACCAATGTTTGTGTTTATTTTTCGATCCTTTTCTTCGCATTAAGGTTTGGTAGGAGGGATGTAGGGTTCTACTAGGTACCATTGATTCATGATGTTGAAATCTTATAATGGCCCAAAAATCTTACTCATTCAATGGTTGATATTTTCCTTTCACTCTCTTACAAAAAAATATATATATATATATTTAAATATAATGTAACACCAAAAACTTCACATATAAAATTTATTTAGATGTAGACATTTTAATTTCGTCCCATTAAAATGTTTGTATTTAGATTTTTAACTCAGTTAGTAAAGAGATTTTTTCCCTCTCTTTTTCTATAGCAAAACGTCAAAATATTGAAAATGTTTTTTTTTTCCTTATGGGAACAAATTAGGCTATTTAAAGTTAATTTAACTACAATAATTTTATTTTTACTTATCTATTATTTAAAATAGAAAAACATATTAGTGGGAAGTATGTTTATAGATCTTAAAATTCCTCTAAAATTATTAAAACATCTAGGTGTACTAGGAAACAAACTTATACGCAACAACAATACCAATATATATTGATCGTTGTTTTCAGATACACTTGTTGGTTGACATCTCTACTAATTCGTCGATACAAGCTCAATATATATTTGTGTAATTTTCATGAAATAGCTGCAGAATCTCTTGAATGTGCCTGTGGCAAATCGACTTTAGCCAAAAAGTTCGAGATTTATGGCAGGTACTTTCGAATAGTTTGCAGCTATCGCCCAAGCAATGGACGAAGAAGGCTCGTAAGATCACCTCAACCCACCTACTCAGGTCTTGTATGATACAAGAAGTTAAAATATGTTGAATAAAGAAAATAATAATAGATAAACAAAAAAAAAATTGAACGGATCTTTTTTTAACTCAACAATTGTAAGAGGAGATATCGAACTATTGACTTTTAAAATAGTAATAGGGCGTTTTCCACCCAGCTATGCTTGAACGGGTTATTATTAGACAAACCTTGAAGTTCCAAAATATTATTTTATATAAATTAGAAACTTTAGAAGTTTCATTGATGTCACATCATTGGATCATGGCCATAAAAAATGGTCCCAAGAGTCTTTAAACTCAAGAAGAGTAGGGCATGATCCTATATCCACTAGCATGCATAATTTATATAACTCACATGGCTTTCAAAGTTTGGTTTCAAAATTTTGGCTCCCACCAAAAACTTTGCATTTTGCGAATGTTGTTGAAAGTAATTGAAAGTTCATTTTTTACTTTTGAATCAAAATATTATTTGACTTTGATATAAATATTTTAAAAAAAAGGGTCATCCATTGGATTTTATAAATTATTCTTTGACAATGAATGCCAAAATAAAATAGCTAGACTTAATTTTGTATAACTAGATAGGATCAAAAAATGCAATCAAAATCAATAAATAAAAATAATAATTACAAAAAAATGTGAGAGCATTGTTGTTGAAGCAAATAAAATTTTTCATAATTTTCTTTTTTTCTTTTCTATTGGGGAAAGGTTATTTACAACAAAATAAATTAATTTCACCATTTCTTCAAATCAATGAACAAATAGAATAATGGGAGCAAGCTAGAAAAACAACAAATAGAAAACAAATACAAAGAGATAATGAGTAAGGTAAAACTAAAGCTTATGGCCTGAGCAAGGTTAAATTAAAAAAAAAATAATAATTAGTTCATTCACACGTGAAAGTAGGGATTTAAATTTCGAACATTAATCAATATAAAGTGAAAGTCTAAAGCAAACCTTAAAATTACCAAAATTAATCAATATATTCACACATTACCATGAGAGATCATATCTCTTGTATAAGATAGTTGATAAAAGTTAGGATACATTGTCATCTTTTAGAGTTTCAAACACTAACTTTCAAACAAAATCAAGCTCAACTTTCCGTTTGGTTGATTTTGTTACTTAAGTCAATACATGTATTTCTTTAAGAATAATATTTAAATGTTTACCCATTAACATCTGATTTTCGTGGTAACCATCAATAAAATTTTGACAGTTTTTTAGTTTTTCGAAAAAAATGTAGAAAAAGAAAAAAATTGTTGATATTTTATGCACTTCTCTTCCCTATTTATAAGAAATTTAACAAAAATCAACTGAAATATGAGTATTGATCGATAAACGTCCAAGTATTTTTCTTACTCTGAAATATATCTATAATGAACGGTGGCAATCTCGAGATCCTTTATTAATGGACACCAATAGGGACAAGATGGCCTCAACTACTAGCCTAGTTGATTTTAAAGAGGACTTAATACCTAGGATTTATCCTCCATGTCCATCTTATTGGTTGAAGGGAAGAAAGAAATAAAGTTAAATGTGACGTTATTATTATTTTTTAGTACAAAAAGTGGGAGTATAGGGATTTGGATTTCGACCTCAAGGAAGAGTAGGTATCTAAACGTTTGCGATATTATAATATTTTCTTAGTATATTACATTATAAAGTATGATAAATTTTTTAAAAAGAGACCTGATGTTTTTTTAATGCAATATATAGAGATTGGAATTTAAACTCACGACTTTTTGATCGAAAATAAATAGTTTAACCAATTGAACTATACTCATATTGACAAAAAAAGACTAATGGTAATGTATAACTAAAACCAGGATCACATTTTAGTTAACGGTCGATAATGAGTCATATTATTATATATATATGGGATTGGATAATTTCTCCAAATTGCCATAATATTTTAATTATGACATTTTAAACCTTTTATTTATATATTTTTAAAAAGTAATTATAAATATTTTGATCTTATCCTTGGGATTACGCTTTATTCAGCAAGTTGATTGCCTAATTGGCAGTCTGATTACCAGTTGTCAAGCCTCTTGCGCACTTTTTTATTCGCTAAATTACTATCTTGTCCCTCTTTTTTCTGACCGTGAATCATGAGCTCAAGTCAAAGTCGTAAAATTTTATTCAAATTCATAATTTAAAGTTTTCTTTATTTTAGGTTCCATGTTTTTGACTAATGGAAAATTATAAATAATTTTAGGAACTCTCTTCATGAAATTTAAAAAGCAAACATTTTTTTCCTAAAAATGAATGTTATGTTATTCCCTTTTTTTTAATGAAATATATATTTCTTATTTAACATAATTATAAATAGAAAAATTATATTTCTAATACGATACTTAATTGAATGTTTCAAATTTAGCTCTACGAACAGTGTCATATCATTTGTTAATTACGTTGCTTCATAAAGAATTCGAAGTTATAGGTGAATATTCGAGTCTCTCGCTTATGAGAGATAGATAATTTTTTTTGTCACATTAAAAAAAATTACAAATTTTGTTAAACATTATCGTATCATCGTAAGAAAATATGAAAGAAAAACTACACTATTTTTTTCTATTAAGTAGCCAAAAGATAGCTAACGTTAATATTTGAAATGAAGCATTTTTTAAATCTCAATGGTAAAATGTGTAAGAAATTGAAAAGATTGAATATAGTTTCATGATCAAGAGGTAGAAAATTTAATCATAGAACTTTGAGATGATATGAAGATGTCTTATCGTCCAATGATAAAAATACCTATATTTAGATGATTAAAAAAAAGAAAAAAGAATATTTTTCTCTCTGCTTTTTAACTTTACAAAAGGAGTAAAAACAAAACAAAATAGGAATAATATTACGAAAACTTTATTATTATTATTTTTTTACTTATATAAAATATTTATCCAGTCTGAAAATCAAATTAAAAATTATCATATAGGATAAAAGGAAATTCAAAACGGAGAAAAGGGTATTTGGGTAATTTCGATCGTCCAAGTTGGCCTACTGCCCTCCCTCCTCTCACAAGAACTTCGCATAAACTCCTCCGTTTCGTCTTCAACAAAATCCAATCCCCAACCAAATCGGTTGGAAAAAGTGAAACTCTGCCATCGCCGCCGCCTCCGATCTCGCCTCTATTTAAACGCGCCACCGCTCCCCGTAAAAATCCCCATCTCCCGCCGGAAAATGCCTCCCAATCCCCCAAAACCCTCCACCGCCTCCCACCGCATAACCCACTTCCCCGCCGCCGCCGCCCCGGATTTCTTCAAGCGCCCGGTTTCTTCACGCGCCTCCACGGTCCCCGACGCGGTGGCGCGTTACCACAACCACGCCGTCGGCTCGAACCAGTGCTACTCCGCCGTCGTCCAGGAGATCGGCGCCCCGGTATCCACCGTCTGGTCCGTCGTCCGGCGCTTCGACAACCCGCAAGCGTATAAGCACTTCGTCAAGAGCTGCCACGTCGTCGTCGGCGACGGCGCCGTCGGTAGCCTCCGGGAAGTCCGCGTCATTTCCGGCCTACCGGCTGCCAACAGCACCGAGCGGCTCGAGATTCTCGACGACGAACGCCATATTATTAGCTTCAGTGTGGTTGGCGGCGAACATCGGCTTTCGAACTACCGGTCCGTCACCACGCTCCATCCCGCCGGCGCCGGAACCGTCGTGGTAGAATCTTACGTCGTCGATATTCCGCCGGGGAACACCGAGGAGGACACGTGCGTGTTCGTCGACACCATCGTCCGATGCAACCTTCAGTCGCTGACTCAGATCGCCGAGAACTTTGCCGGCGTCCGAGACCGGGCGTCGCCGCCGTGAGCGATTCGAAATGGCCGCATTTTCTTTTTTCTTTTTTTTTTTTTTTGTTTGGGTAGCTGGATACAGAATGCGTGAGGTCGTTTGTTTAAAGCCGAATTAAAAAAATAATGTTTGAGTATTCTTATATCAAGTAATTGCTTGTATTATGATTTATGAATCAATTTTTTCTTCAATTAGTTTTAGAAAATAGCAATGGGAAAAATGTTTTCCATTTTCAATAATCCTAACCTACAATTTTTTTTTGGGTATGTTCTCTAAAATATAAAGGCGAGGAGAGAATATTTGGGGTGGAGTGGAAGGTGGCTTTAGAGGCAAGATGGAGTTTTGGTAAAAGAAAAAAAGAAGTTTGACATCAGATTAATTTATTAGGCTAAGAAATAGACTAAAGACTATAAATGAATCTAATTGGTTGAAATGAACAAAATGACGTCAATTGAATAATGGTCGTATTATTGCATTAGTTAGTTTTAAACAAAAATCTTTTTTTAAAAAAATTTGTGAGCATACGGAAACAGTTACTTACTAAGGTAGGTGGCTATCGTGATATTTGAACTCATTCTTTCTCAATTAATCTTAATCCCTTTCGGACCAATGAACTAGTGATAATGATTAGTTATAAAGAACGGTACTAATAGAGTTCTTGGTTGAACATAAGTCTTTACTGAAGAAATAAGGGAATTAAGTTAAATGGATTGAGATTGAATCGTACAAGAGAATAAAATAAAATAAGATATAGAATTTTGTTTGAAAAAAATATTATTTACTTGACTCAACGTCAACACGTCTCGAATAAATTTCAGTTCATCGAAAAAGTGAGCTTTCACTCAAAACTACCCGATACAATTGAGGTTATTTTCACCCGTTTGAATAGCTAACTATCAAAATGGTACTATCAAAATCCAACTTGAATGAACTAAAAACAAGTTTAAGAAAAGCCAAAAGAAGGTGAAGGCAATGAGTTACATAGTGAATCCAAATAATGTTTTCTTTCAAATGATTAAATATAATATTATATATAATATATTATCAATATTTTAACGTGAAGTTACGTACTTATTATAAAATATTTTCTTTCTTGCTATCCATCACTAAATTTTTATATGTATTTATTTTTTAAGAAAAGAAAAAAATATATTCTTCCACCTCCTCGGTCCATCATTATATATATATATATATATATATATATATATATATATATTACTTATTTGACAAAAGAAATTACTTTGAATTTTTAAGTTTGTAATCTACCCTCACATCTGAAATTATAAGACAAATTATAAGACTTTATTTAATAAAAATTCTAATTTTATTTTCTGTTTTTAAAATTCACAATTTCTTTGATATTCCTTCGCTTTTTTTTTAATATTTGAATTTTTAACCAAATTTGAGAAAACTATATATATATTTTTTAGTTTTCAAAATTTGGTTTAAATTTTGAGGACATTTAAAGAAAGTGGATAATAAAACTAAATAAAGAAAACACACAAGTAAAACTAATATTTATAGGATTAATATTCAAAAACATATAACTAAAGGCAAAATTATTAAGGTAAAGATAAAATGGATTATTTTTTAGTTCAAATGTATAAATACTTTAAGTTTTTCTTAAGAGTATGTGAAAAAATGCACTTAAAAAGAGTAATGTTTAAAACATTCTTAAAAAATAATCATTTAAAAAGTTTTGAAAAGTGGGACGATAGTATGCAAGGGTGCCTTTGAAAATTTTGTTATTTTTCATTTAGTTAACTACAAACACTAGCAACAAATTAATTCCTGCACGTCTCAACTAATTCTTCTCTTAAATTAACGAAAATTATAAATATTTTAAAGTAGCACACTAAAAAACTAAGGACGAAAGAAAAATATCTGAAGAATTAGGTCCCAACATGTACCGTACCTGAATACGACAATACATCTCCACTCAAAACTAAATCAAGACTAGAGGAAAAAAATCCGTTACAATCATTTTTTAAAATGAGGTCCTACATTAAAAAGTTAAATTAACACATTCTTGTTACTCAACATCATCACCAACTCCATTACCTTGAGATCAAACCAATGAAACAAAATTAATTTTTACCAAATTTTTTGTCTCTTTCTTTTTAGTTCATCATAAATGAACAAAATTAATACAGTGTGGAAATTAATTTAATATTGCAATTAAGTAATGGGGTTTAATGGGTGATGGAAAATTGGCTAGGATATATATATAATGTGTTAGGTTTAGTACAACCTAGAAAATTTTCTTCATGAGGTACCAAAATAAAATTGGGGAGAGTTGAAAGAATTGTACACCAAAAAGGAAAAAAAGAAAAAAGAAAAAAATTGAAGAAGGCTATATCCTGCCAACTCTGCAACTTGGCCTATTTTTTTTTTCTTTTTTTTTTTCTCTCTTCATCTAATTGGCTGTTCTTTGCAACTTGCACATACATATATATTTATTTATGTTTGTTTATTTATTTATATATAAAAAAAGAATTGTTGACGTGTTTGAATGAGACTGGCTTCTGCAAGTTGGTGTGCAAGTTGAGAGGAGGCAGCTTTTAATGATCCCTCATGTTTTCTCTCTTCCCTACTTTCTTTTTTATTGTTTTCTTTAAATATTCCATCAATTTCTTCCTTTTTTTTTTTAATTTTCAATTCACTTCCCACTATTGATTTGCGTTAAATTACAAATTTAGGGGTTTTTTTAATAATATTTTTTAAATTTATTTTTAAAATAATGCTGGTTTAAATAAAATTACATAAAAAATACATTTTTTCAAACTTATTATAAAAATAACGTTTTTTAAATTATTCCGACATTTGGTCGTACGACCATGCCATTTTCAGCACTTGGTTTTTTTAAAATCAAGACATGGTCGTCTCTCAAACGACCATGTATTGACATGCATTTATGGTCGTTTCTATTTTTTAAAAAAGTGTGGCGCCAATAAAGCGCCACGTCCTTATGAAGCAACCAACTACCAAAAATGGCATAGTCATTTCTTGAGGAGACGATCAAGTGATAGAATAATTTTAAAAGCATTACTTTTTAAACAAGTTTCGAAAGAAGCATTTTTTCTCTACTTTTATTTTATGTAGCATTATTTTAAAAATAAATTTAAATAAAACGTTATTTTAAAAAAATCCACAAATTTAGTGGGTTGAAATCATTTTTATAAATGCACTCGCTAAACTTTAGCGAGCTTATCTAATATCGAATCAATTGATAAATAGTTAGATATATTACGTGATAAATATATTAATGATAACGATTATATAAAATCACAATTCATTATTCAACATAGAGAGATAAACTTGGTTAAGATATTCATTCTACTCCTATGCTTTAGAATTTCTTATATTTTAGTTGTTATATTTTCAATAAATCTTAAAATTAATCTCTATTATTATTTTGTGGTTAACTTTTCTTTAACTAGTTCTATTATATGAAAACATATTCGAGTGGTATCTTTTATCGAATGAAAATTGTTGTTATTACTTTGTCAAGATAGATAAAAATTAGCTTCAAACTATAGTATAACAACTGGATTTGAACATGAGAGTACATAAAATAAAACGAGTCTCGAAATATAGGACCAGATCATATTTTAACCACTAAAATTTTTAAAATCTAGAAATTTAGTAGATATAACAATCCACTCAACTTTATATTTTACCTTTTAATTTATTAATCTCAGTAGTTTCAGTTATATTATTTTTAAAATAGAGGAACTAATTAGAGGCGGGAGAATTTGAATTCAAGATAAATATTTAAAATACCAAAAAAATCTTATTAAGTTTGAGTTGATTTGAGAGAATTTATAGTTCTTATTTGTTAATAAGTGTTCAAAAAATTGATGTCACATTAATGTTATTTTAACTTATACTGTTTCAATTCCAATCCATATCAATGCCCCACCCATATTTCTTTCATATTAAAAATCATTTATTTATAACATGGATTAAGAGAATTATAAATTAAGGTACAAACACAAAATTGAAGATTTTTAGAGATAAATTTTATGCAAACAAAATGTGATTGAACTTTTTTTTTTTCTTTTTTGAACACTTTTCAAGTATTCATTTGATGGTTCATCCATCTCTCTCTTCTTTTTTTCCTTGTTTCATGGGGCTTTTCCAAGTGGTTTTGAGATTTTGACCAAACCAATTCAATTTGGACATGCAACAAAATATAATTTGGCCTTTTCTTCTATGAATTTTAATCAAGTTCAAAGAAAATGGGTTGAATACTTTTATATAAATATAGGCAAAAACAAATCACACCTACTACTCTATTTTTCTGTTTATTTCATGGGGTATCAAAGAGACTTAATGAAAGTTTCATCACAATCTAATTGCAAATTTTTATAACTATTAAGTTGTATGGTTAAAATATAGTAGCCATTTTTTCATTAATTACATTGTAAAACATTGAGAAATAAAAAAATTAATCGAAACAGAATTCTATTGAGACCGGTTCAGTTACCAAAAACATTTTTGTATTTTAGCTTGACAGATGAATCTAGACTATTCTTACTGATGTAGGATTTTAGATGAGGTGAGAAGACGATTTCTAGTTCGAAATGGACGTCTAGTCAGTTGAGGTGATGACCTACGAATAGAACTTTGCGTCAATATAGTACTCGACTACATACACTCTAAAGCTTAAGTTAGTACTTAGTCTACGTTAATATCTAGCCAAGCATAGTTAGGTTGCATAAAAAGTGCATACTTTTGTGAGAAATGGACTTCGTTTTTTATGGTGGAGTTCTGGGAAATGTTACCCGGCCCTGTCATTTCGACGATCTGTCATACCTGTTGCTCATTGAATTTAACACCAGTGCATCCGCCATTTCAGGTCAGTACAGAACTGGGCTTATGTTGGGTTAGTTAGAGACGACTTCGTTTGTCTCATCTCTACTCCCTGACCTATCCAAACTGTAGCTTGAACACGTGTCTCCAAATAAGTGGTCCAAGTAGCAGACTCGGATTCCCCCTTCAATGTCGAAGATGTTAACTACTCCATCTCTACTAAAGTGTGAGCTTTTTACTTCTAATATTTGCTCCTAAGCTGCTTGTTTAATAGGCATCATAATTCATAACTTTGTTGCACATGGCATGGCCTAGCAAAGGCCAACTTTTGCTTCACTCTTGGTTGGTTGGCCAGATTGAGAATCCTAGATCTTCTAGTAATTTGTTGGGTTTAGTGCATATTCTTAAAAAAAGATTATGAATATATATGTGTGATTATGGATATAAATTTTGAATAAGAAAAGAAAAACCATGAAAAATAGTGGTCCAAACTTGGAAATTAACTTAGATTAATTAATTAATATTGTGTTGGAGAAGATGGGGGATGGGTACAGGCTGCCAAACTTGAACATGGTATTCTATTTTCTGTTTGGATATTTTCATAAAATTTTTGGAAATGCTTTGAAGTTTCTTTACGACAAAGAATCCTGTCTGAGGTCCAAATCTCATCCAACTTTGGCCTTCAAAATCATTTGTATATTAAAGCTTCATTTTATTATTATTATTTTTTTTTTTTTTACCTAACTATACTTTCAGGTTTTGATTTATTTTTGGTTTATTTATTTTTAAAATGTTTATTTTAGAGTTTTTTTAATAATGTTTTATTTTTAAACTTATTCTAAATATTTATCATCCACCAAACTATTTTCAAGAATAATGCTTGGAAAATTGAAGGTCGTCTCTTGCCACTTCACACTTTTCGAGTTGCATGGCACCTTGCTGACGTCATTTTTTTTTTCTAATCCTAGCCGTTATGTCTTCAAGAGAAGCATAACAAATAGTATAGTTTTGTGGTGTATCTTGAATACGAGGTTTCTCCCTTCATTTATAGAGGGGAGAAACCTAGAGTTGATAAAAACTCTAGAATCAATAAGGACTTCTTTTGAATACATTAACTAAAAATAGTTTGAAATCTCTTAGGATCTTCTTCAAATTCCATAGATCTTAGGATCTTCTTCCATCACGAGCCCATATCGAGGTAAGATGAGTTCGTGCATGCTGACTTCAGACTGACCAATCCTCTTGTTTGTGACTATGACTACTGGAGGACGATTGATCGAGCCATAGACCAAGCCAATGTAACTGGCTAAGTCAACCAATCAATTGAATACGACCTTGTGGCCTGGCCGAGCCAATCGGACCAGTCGAGCAAGGTTGGTCGACCTAATGGCTTGATTAAGGGGACCAGTTGATCAAATGTTGGTCGGCCACAAGGCCTGGTCTAGCTGAGCAAATTGGCGGACCAGGGCTGGTTAGCTATGAGGCTAGCTAGGCCGAGCTGACCAATTGTTCAGCTACAAGGTCTGGCTAAGCCAATCCATCGATCCATCGATTGGCCTCGATCATTGGTTCTTAAGTTGGGTCCGCTTCCTCGATCTCGACCTTTTGAGTTTTTTGATGCTCATTGTAAGAATGAGAATAGAAATTAGACGAAAAAAATAGTTGTTGTACCGTGGAAGAACCACACCCTTGAAAGCAATTTTGACACAACCACAGTGCTAAATCGTATATACGCCAGTTGCTCCCCAAGATTAACACAACACCCAACTCAGACGACGTGCACTCGTCAGAGCGGATTGGGATCGAAAAACTAGCCCATAATTTTTCTTGTAAGAATCGTGAGAAAAAATGATAGAAACTTATAGACAAACTCCTCTATATCTTTTTTATAAACGTTACAATTCTTATAAATCAATATCACGAAAATAAAATATTTAATTACAGAACGAATAAACGTTTAATAAAAGGTTTTCGAAACATAAACGATTTTCTACGGAGTATTTTTCTTTTCTGATTCCCAACACTAATTTGAAGCTCAAGTTTGGGTTTATCGGATTTCAGTCATACTTTCCATCCCCAGTAACATCACCGAAAAGTGAAAAGTAGATTATATGACAAAGTTATTTCTTAACTAGAAAAAAATATAATAAGTAACTGAGGACATTACAAAATAAGCAAAATACATCCTAATTGGTTCGAAAATGCACTATATATATATTAGTATTATTTTCGGCCACTTAATTTCTTTAAAAAGTATGTAATTAAGGTGAAATGTCAAATTTAACCCAAATTTCTTTCTTTTTTCTTAAAACAATCAATTGCATACGGTTTTTTTTTTCTCTAATTGTTGTGATAGCCTAACCTAGCTAAACAACCAAG